GATGAAGCTCAATCAGATGAAGAACCTGTAGTTCCTGCTCCCGCATCTAATATTCCTGGCTCGTGCGTGCCTCCTACTTCCCGAGGGTGTTCCACATTTACCGAGGAGCACTATAATCTCCTCCATGAGCGGATTGACACTCTTACCTCATCGATCGACGACATGGGTAGCCTACTTCTTCAGATGTAGGCTCAGTAGATATCTATCCAAGACTGACAGCTCGAGATGCAGCAGCAGCAGCTTGAGATGAGCAGCGACAGGCTGAGATACATGCTTAGTAGACTGCATTTTTCACCGAATTTTATGCTAGATTTCCTCCTCCGCCCCCACCTCCGACCCCTTAGTTTACTTTCTTGCCTACTATTATTATCATGTTAGTTGTTATCTATTGCTCTTTTATGTTTTGAATGGTTGACTTCCTAAATGGTACTGTTTTTTTTTTCTTTTTTCTTCATGCTATTTGACCTGTTATATCTTTTTGCTTATGCCAAAAGGGGGAAGATGAGCATATAATTATGCAACATAGGAACAACATAACAAGGGGAAAAGTTATATAATATTATATGCATGTTGAGAGGGGGAATATTACTTGCAATATACAAAATCATGCTCCTAATTATTTGATACCGATTCAATTTGTTCAACATTTATATTGCAAAAATTATTTTGTTTGTCATAATCAAAAATGGGGAAATTGTTGACCTAATGGTTACTTCTTGTTCTGATTATCACAAACAAATTGCGTTTAATTCTAACAAATTGAATTTAAGTGATTGATAGTGATTATTGTAAATTTATAACACGAAAAATCTAGATCAAGAATCATGCAACCTTGGCACAAAACGACAAACACACAAGCAAGATTGAAGATTTACTAACGAGAAAATGGAAATTGAGCTTTCACGCACAAAATCGCATTGGATGAAAAAATTGAAGATATTAGCTATAGATGCATTTCTATACTCAAATGAAAAGGTAGAACACTTTAATATTTTACATCAATTATAGCTCAAACAATTTTTATGCACGAGAATTATCATGACAAACATTACTTGGATAAAAATTATTTTTAAAATATAAGTAATTTGATTTTTCACAATTAAATCTTTATGAAATTACCTATTTATACGAAGTATATTAGAAAACCCTACAAGTACCTTAAAGAACATTTTTTCGAAAAAGAAAAATTTGAAGGGCAAAATAATTGTCCCATCCTGACGTCCGGACGGGGTCTTCCGGACGCCCAGATGTGGTGTTCAACGATCGAATTTTTTATCGTTTGACAAATGGCTAGTTAACCGTCCGGATACCAAGCGAACGTCTGAATCACATGTCCGGATCTCCTGATTGATGACTATAAATATCTCTCTTTATACCTTTTGTAAAGTAAGAATTCTAGAGTATTAAAAAGAGTTATTTATTGATCTTATCTACCTTGTTTTTCAATCTTTAAGAGATCAAAATATTTATTTGTTGAAAAACTTTTTGAAAAATCATATATCTCAATAAAAGTTTTTCACACAATACTTAAACTATATTCTTTGTGATTTATTGAAGTGTTGTGCCTAACTCCCTCTTAATATTTCATTGTGTTCATATCATTTGTTAAGAGAGAAGTTTTTCAATTGTAACTTTGATTTTTTTGTTCATTAAATTGTGAGTCGAGTTGAGGTCCCAGAAAGCTCAACATGTAAAAGGATCGATGCTCCTTAGTTGTAAGTCACCGGAAGCGTTGTAAGGGTTGGATTGCACCATAAGTCAATCAAAGATAGTGAAAAAGGCCTTGCTCGTGACGTAGAGCTTGGTAACGGGGGATGTAGATCGTGACTGGATCGAACCTCCTTATTACATCGTTTGCACTCTCTTTTCCCTTCCTCTTATTACTTTTGTGTGGCTTTGTTTATTCATAGTTATTTGGTTAAATTTGCGTTTATTTTCGAAAAAGTTTCAAATAACCAATTCACCTCCCTCTTGGTTAGTTGGTCTTGGGCTTTCAAACTTTTCGGCCATTTCCGACCACCGATACCATCGAATTTTGATACCGTTGGAAAGATTACAATGTTCTCTTCAATTACCACCCAAAATCCCCCCATAACTCCAAGGGATCCGATTGAAAAATCACCAAAAAAAATCTGAATCTGCTCAGATTTTTAGATTTTTTGAGCGACTTTTGCGGCGATTTTTCGACGACTTTCGACTACCAAAACCGTCGGATTTTGATATCCTTGGAAAGGCCACAATGTCCTCTTCAATTACCATCCAAAATCTCCCCAAACTCCAAAGGATTCGATTGAAATAAATTCACAAAGCCGACTACCCAAAAAGGTAAAAATTTAGGCAGATTTTTCAGATTTTTGGGCTACTTTTGAGGCAACTTTTCGGCAACTTTTGACTACTAATACCGTTGGAAAGCTTACAATATCTCTTTAATTTCCACCAAAAAATATCCCCCCCAAACTCCAAAGGATTCATCCAGAATAAACCCACAAATTTGGCTACCCGAAAAGGCGAAAATCTGGGAAGAATTTTCAGTTTTTTGGGCAAATTTTACGACAACTTTCTGGAAACTTCTGACCACCAAGACCGCCAGATTTTGATACCGTTGAAAAGCCCACAATCTCCTCTTCAATTATCATCTAAAATCTCCCCATAACTCCAAAGGATTTGGTCGGAATAAACCCATAAAGTCAGCATCCTTTGACATTTCAAAATGGGTGTATCAAAGTAAGTCGTAAAAGAGTCAAAATAATTATTTTCTGAAAAAAATAAAATAAAATAAATTATGGGGTCATTTGACCTCATATGACCCCACGTGGATCCGCCCCTGATATGCAACAAAAAATCATATTTAACACTTAACCTACCGTCGAACTTTATAATCACGCCACATCTCAATTTAAATATTGACCAAATACCATTGTGAGGAATCCTTGAAAATGAAATCTCTTATTTAACGACTAGCGACACCTCAATATAGAACAAAAAGATGCGTGCTCCATGGTGTGTGGAGGCTATGGACCAAAAATAGTGACTTAAATAGTAGATAGGTAACCCCAAATAATTTGATATTCTCTAATTGAGACAATTTAACTACCACCAAATAAATAAAGTTGACCATAAATTAAAGAATACTCAAGCGTAAGCTTATGGAAAAGAACAAAACCTCACAGAATTCAAACTTGTGAATTTGAAGTATTAATTACGTGCCTGGTTCCAATTTTTACTTGCTCAAAATTATAATAATAATTATTATTATTTTTCCCGTTACTTGATGTAAAGTGGGTCCCAACATGAGAAGTATGTGAGAAGCAAGTCAAAGAAATATTCAAGCATAAGTTTAGAGTAATGTTATTTAGCCATATTGAGATTACAATTCCATTCTAGATGATACTAATGTAACATTAATTGATAAGTAGATTTAAATAACTCATTTAATTTCACTTTTCATTTAACCTATTATCTACTGTTATTTAAATTGGGGTTACAACCCTTCATGACTTTATGGAAAAGAACAAAACCTTATAAAATTCATATGAGCACGTGTCTCGCTCCAATTTTTACTTGCTTAAAGTTTGTTTTTTTTTATCGTTGCTTGATTCAAAGTGGATCCCAGCGTGAGAAGTGTGTGAGAAACAATTCAAACAAACCGGCTGCAATCCCCCAACAACGGTCAAAAAAGCCATTTAAATCTTGAAGAAATTTTTTTTTTCCAGACAGCCCCTAAATACTAAAAAAGGAGAGAAGTATTTGAGAATTCCATTCAAAATAGACTCAAATTTTTCGAAAAGATACACTTCAAAATTTTGGCCCCGTTTGGGAGGGATTTTGAGAATTGATTTTTTGACCGTTAAAAAAAAGTGGGGTCCACATGTGAGAGAAGAAATCAAAAATTACTGCTGGAATAGTGAAATAATAGTCAAAAAATCAATTTTTTGGGGGTAAAAAATACCTCCCAAACATTTTATTTTTTCATCTCTAGCCTATTTTCTCATGAAATCTTCTTGTTTCTTTATTGCATCAACATTCAGTTAATTGGGAAACAACTTGTTAAAAGAACAGGAGCAAACGTTATTCTCCGGAGAAAATAAGATAAGCCAAACATGCTTTACTAGGAATAAAATGTAATTGCCTTTATAGAGTTTTATATTTATAAAAAAGTGCACTATAAATTGACGGGATTTGACCATATACAAGTGACATTTTTCAAATTCCTGTCTCTTGTTGCACTTGTATGATTGAAGAAAATAATGCATTACTCTTGCTAATCTATTGGCCTAGGAAATTAAAAAAAAAAAAAAAAAAAAGTTAGACACCTTTAAAATTGGGTTGTGCTGTGTGTACACAATGATGTACACATAGCCTTACACCCCCTTCACGCGGAGGGGGCCCATATGTAATAAAATATTCGTGGACCCCCTTCGTGTGAGGGGGGTGTAAAGCTGTGTGTACACCTAAAAATTTTAAACATCCATAAATGTTAGATTTTTAATCAATGATAATTTTTTTTTTTTTTTATAAAAACTCTTAAATGTTCTTCTGGCACATAAATTAAAATGTGTAGGATGCATTTTTTACCATTTAAAGTTGGAAGTTGAATTGCATTTTTTTGAAAAGTTTAGAACATCTATTTGCAAATTTCTGCTTATCATGAACCGACTCATCTTGAACTTGTGAATCGGCTCGTTTTTTATTTAGTTTTGACCTATTTTATTTATTTTTCAAAAAATAAAAATATTAAAAAGGAAAAAAAGGAACCGACTCGTAAATAAGGTTATGCTTATATGAGTTGAGCTCGGGCCATTGCCAGCCTAATTTTATGTCTCGATGTTCCGTACGGTACCAATGGGGGGACCAAAAATATACGTTACCACATTCGAGCGTTCCGAAATAACCATATTATCCTTTTCTCCGCTGTGCTGTCTTCTTTTGTCTGTCCGGAGCAATAATTCTGTCAATGTACAATTACAGTAGAAAATCTAAGCCATTCAATCCAAAAGGGACACGCAAAAACTCAACCACATTGCTCACATGGTCACACCTCTTATCAATTTTGCATCGATCTATATATTATGCCCTTTTTCCACTTATCATAACCACACAGGGCTATAACTATACAAGATTTTCTTCAGAATCAAGAACCCAAAAGGCTGGATTTTAATTAGGGGGTGTTAGAGATTCTTGTGGTGTTGTTTTGAGAGTGGGGTAAAACCCAGAGGGAGACGAGCTGTAGACAACACGGCTATACTAAGAGCAAAACCGCTTCTAATCCATGTCCGGGCAGTACGACGTAAGGGTTGTGTAACCGCGAGCAGCCCTTCGCCGCACGGTGGACGTGGTGCTTTGCCTTCCGAAGGCGGCAGCCCTTCCGACCTCCTCTTCCTTGCCGGCGGCGGGATCTACTGTTAGGCTGCGTAGCGTAATATATAATTAGGTTTTTACTGTATAAAAATTGATTATTATCTGATTACTGTTTATCGAAAATATTTTCTCTGCTTTGGTTTTGGGCTTGGTGGGAGTGTTCTTAAGTTCTTGTAATTTGGAAGATTATAAAAAAGATAATATTTCTATTAAGAGATTTAAGATGATGCTGAGAATCAAGAGAGTTCCAACTGTTGTTTCTAATTACCAGAAGGAAGAGGCGGAGGAAGGCGGCTGTGGCCGGAATTGCCTTAGAAACTGCTGCCTTCCAGGTGTCAATTGAATTTCTTCGATTATTTTAAGGTTTTCCTTGTTTAATAAAAATTGGGTTGCAATTTTTACTGCATTTTCGAATTAATTAGGAGCAAAGCTGCCTCTGTATGCTTTCAAGAAGGTGAATAAGGTTTCTTGTGATAATGGTTTTGTTGATCATGTGGATAAAGAGGCTCCCGTTGCCTTCTTGGACTCCCTTCTTCTTGGGGAGGTAATTTTTGTTTATTTTACCATATTCATCAGTAGTTTTTAACTGAGATCGCTGTAGTTTTATGAAATTATTGTTGCTTGATGATAGTGGGAGGATCGTCTGCAGAGAGGCCTCTTTCGCTATGACGTCACTGCTTGCGAAACCAAGGTTTTTGTCATTCCCTTTTTGCTTCTTAATATGTACCAGGTTTCAATTTGAGGCCTTAACTGTAGTCTTGGTTGAATCAAGAGAATATAAAGAATTTTCTTGTGCTATACTGTTTCATATAGGTGATTCCGGGGGAATATGGCTTTATTGCTCAGCTGAATAAGGGCAGGCACCTTAAGAAGAGGCCGACTGAGTTTCGAGTTGATAAGGTATTGCAGCCGTTTGATGAGAACAAGTTCAACTTTACAAAGGTTGGGCAAGAGGAGGTGCTCTTCCAATTTGAACCAAGCTCTGACGATGAAGTCAGGTTCTTGCCTAGCGCACCCATTGATGTCGAGAATTCACCTAGTGTCATTGCTATCAATGTAAGTTTCCTTTCGCTTGCTTTTCTTATGGTTTTTTTGGTGAAATATGGAGCGGTAGATTTAACCCTTGGTGTTTATGTCTTAACAGGTCAGTCCTATCGAATATGGACATGTGCTGTTGATCCCCCGGATTCTAGAATGCTTGCCTCAGAGGATTGACCGTGAAAGCTTCTTGCTTGCTCTTTACATGGCTGCCGAAGCAGGGAATCCTTACTTCCGATTGGGCTACAACAGCTTGGGTGCATTTGCCACCATCAACCACCTTCACTTCCAGGTTCCAAACCATGACCACTTTAAGTTGCTGTCACTTAAATACTAGTGGCATATGTATCTAAGTCTTGTTCATTATAATCTTGAGCACGGCTTACGAAAATGCACTTAGAATTAATAACTTTTTGGTAACTAAAAATAATATTTATAATTGTCTTGCAATAGGCTTATCATTTAGCTGTGCCATTTCCTATTGAGAAAGCTCCCGCCAGGAAGATAGCCACTACAAATAGCGGGGTGAAAATCTCTAACATTGTGAACTATCCCGTTAGAGGTCTTGTTTTCGAGGGTGGAAAAACGCTGGAAGATTTATCCAATGTTGTCTCTGATTCTTGCATCTGTCTGCAAGATAACAACATTCCTTACAACGTTCTCATCTCTGATTCTGGTAGGAGGATATTCCTCTTCCCACAGGTAAATACTTGCCTGTTCACCACGAATTCGTTTGCATTCCTGGTCCGTTTGTTTGATCTTTCACTTTCTAATTGTGAATGTCGAATGAGCAAACAGTGCTATGCGGAGAAACAGGCTCTTGGTGAAGTGAGCCCCGAGCTCCTCGACACTCAAGTTAATCCAGCGGTTTGGGAAATCAGTGGACATATGGTGTTGAAGGGGAAGAAGGACTACGAGGCGGCATCTGAGGAAAACGCTTGGAAGCTTCTTGCCGAGGTCTCCCTTTCTGAAGAGAGGCTCGAAGAAGTGAAGGATCTCATATTTGAAGCCATTGCTTGCAAGATTGATGAAGACAAAGCTGTCACTCCTACTTTGATTGAGGACTCCACTCAATCTATTGAAGTGCCCTTACAGGCTCCCACCCTGCTATGGTCCCTGCCTAGCAGAAGTGCTCGGTTCTGAACCAAGATTTGTGCTTCGAAGACCTGATCAGTGGTCTCTTATTATGTTTAATATTAGCAGTGTGACATGGGAGTTTCTATGGCTTCCCTTATGGATATGCCTAAATAATGCAAACTAGGTTTGCCAAATGTCTTAAGTACTATGTGTTGGCTTTGCCAATCAACTCGCTTGTGCTTTCTGGAGTTGTGTTGAATGAATGTTTTGTAAGGATTTTTAATCAATAGATGGGTTTGTATGTGTGAATAATTGTGTGTTAAATTATAGGCTATCGAATTCGGTTGAGCCCAATTAAAGTAATCTAATAAGATTTCGATTTTGAGTTTTAATGTATCCAATTAAAGTATGGGTTTACATATGTGTAGAGATCGGGCTCAAGTCCTAATTCTATGATGGGCCGAATTAGGTCAAAGGGCGTCCCTATATAAATAGGTTATGGTCCCCAGATCACATGCATGTATTATTCATTCTCTTTTGCATCCCATCACAGAGAGGAAAATGAGACTACGTGTAGATTTGAAAGACTATACCATAAAATTCATTATTGCATTAACCATGTCTGATTCAGGTATATTTCCGCTTTAATTCTTCAATTTCTTGATAATTTAATATGAAAGATCCGATAATTTAAAGCATTAAATTATCCAACAAGTGGTATCAGAATCTCTTCATATTAAATCATTGAGAATCGAATAATTAATTTGGTTCTTGCAATATTTTATAAAGTTTTCAGATTTGACAATTTTAGAATTAGTTTTGTTGAATTTGAAAACTATTCGGTATATTTTTCATTATGAATTTGTCGTAATTCGGATTAATGGTTGATAAAATTTCGAATTACGGATTATTTATGGTTTAGATTCAGCTTTAAAAAATAAAAAATAATAAAATTTTGGCTGTACCGGCACCAGCGCTGCCGGCCAGACAGTGCTGCTGCAGCGCCGACGCTGCCTATGGCGCCGGCTAGCGGGTGCCGCGAAGGGAGAAGAAAGAAAGAAATTTTAGGGTTTTCCAGTTTGTTGATTTTGGGGGCGGAGGCTTCCTCTGTAAATTAGATGATTTGAGGTCCTTAGTTGCAATTAGGGTTAGGGTTATAAAATTAAGGTTTCAGTCCCTAACCTTTAAGTTATATTAAGATTTGGGCCTTAAAGTTTCGGATTTAATAATTCAGTCCTTAAAGTTTTAAAATTAATTAATTCGGGACATTAAAGTTCTAAATTTATTATTAAAGCCCTCAAACTTTAATTACTAGTTCAAATTGGCCCCCTAGGTTCATAACTAATTCAAATTGACCCCTAAAGTTTCAATTTTTCAAAATTTGATCCCTAAAGTTTTGAATTGGTCAATTCTAGCCCCTAAAGTTTTAAAATTTGTTCTAATTAATCCTCGAAAGTATTAAATTAATTAATTTTGGTCCCTAAAGTTTCAAGTTTATTAATTTCAACCCCTAAAGTTTGGAATTAATTAATTTAGCCCCCCTAAAGTTTTGAATTATTAATTCTAAGGCCCCTAAAGTTTAAAACTAATCAAAATATGCAAAATTGGTGATTCTCTTTCTCAAATTTTGGTACTAAAGACTCTTTTAAAAGATATAATATTCGAAAATTGGTTAATTGCAACAACATGTTGCCAAAGCAACCTCTCTTGTAGAAATTGACTAATTTAGAATGTTAAAAAGTGTTTGTGCATTTGTTATTCATGGGAATATTGGTCGGCCCAAAGGAAGGTCAATATTTAGCCGAATACACGTGCACCTGTGGTGATAAACGTGTGACGATTATTTGGTTTAATGTGTGATCAATAAATCGGTCCAAAGAAATGTTTATTGATTGACACGTTGTTTTATCATCAATATTTGATCACTACGCCAAGAGTACCGCTTACAAGTCAATATTTCTGTCCAAAAACTAGATATTGATGTTGTGCTTGGTATCTTGTGATGGGCCCTACCACTATTTGAGATTATTATTATTTGCATCTTAAAGATATTCAAAGTGAGCTATTCATAATAATCGTTCTCTTATTCAGTTTCAGGTTCTACTGCTAATATCTCTGCTAGCATCAATTCAATTTCAATGCTAAATGGCACAAACTTTAGGGCTTAGCAAGAGAATGTGATGATTGTTCTCGAAGTCATGGAACTAGACCTTGCTTTACGGGTCGATCAACATGCTGCACTTACTGATAAGAGTACCTCTGATAACAAGAGGGAGATGAAAAATTGGGAACGATCGAACCGCATAAGCTTAATGGTCATGAAGTGTGCTATTCCAGAAACATTCTGGGCACTATGTCCGATAAGGTGACTACGACTAAAGGTTTTCTTGAGGACCTTGAGAAGAGGTTTGCCAAGAATGAAAAGACTGAAATAAGTACACTTTTGGCAAATCTTGTCTCAATGAGGTATAAAGGGAAAGGAAACATTCGGGAGTACATTATGGAAATGTCTCACATTGCTTCAAAACTAAAGGCACTCAAGTTGGATTTATCTGAAGACTTGTTGGTGCACTTGGTTCTGATATCCCTTCCCGCACATTTCAGTCAATTCAATGTGAGCTACAACTGTCAAAAGGACTCATGGTCCCTTAATGAGCTCATCTCACACTGTGTCCAGGAAGAGGAAAGATTGAAGCATGAGAAGACAGAAAGTGCTAATTTGGCCACTACCTCTAAGGACAAAAGGAGCAAGAAAAGGAAGATTAATAAGGAAGTTGCGCGTACGGCACCGCAAAAGAAACAGCATAAGGAACCAACTGAAGGTGGTTGTTTCTTCTGTGGAGCTGCAGGTCATAAGAAGAAAAATTGCACCAATTACCACACATGACATGTAAAGAAAGGTATTCTTCTTCATTTGGTTTGTTCTGAGGTTAATTTAACTTCGGTACCTAGACATACATGGTGGATAGATTCTGGTGCAACAACTCACATCAGTATGTCTATGCAGGGTTGCATGAGTTACCGAAAACCAAGTGATGGTGAAAGATACATCTATTCTGGCGACGGCAAATGAATAAAAGTAGAGGCAATAGGAAAATTTAGATTATTGTTAAAGACTGGATTTTATTTAGATCTTGTTGAGACATTTATTGTACCGTCTTTTAGACGGAATTTGATTTCTATTTCTGTTTTGGACAAATTTAGTTATACTTGTTCATTTGAAAATGAAAAATTTAGTTTGTTTCATGATTCAAAATTGGTTGGTTCCGGTTCTTTATCAGGTTACGATAATCTTTATTCAATTGATACAATTGCTTCTTATAATGAAACATTGCATGTAAGTACTCGAGGTGTAAAGCGAAAATTAAACGGTGAGAATTTTGCCTCGTTCTGGCACAAGAGATTAGGTCACATCTCCAAAAGGAGAGTTAAGAGACTTGTGTCTGACGGGATTCTCGACCCTCTTGACTTCACATATTATGATTTGTGTGTCAATTGTATAAAGGGAAAACAAACCAATAAAAGGAGATTTCAAGCCAATAGGACTTCGGACATCTTAGAACTTATACATACGGATATTTGTGGACCATTCCCTACGGATTCTTGAAATGGTCAACAATATTTTATAACCTTCATAGACGACTTTTCAAGATATGACTACATATATCTCATCCATGAAAAATCACAGTCACTGGATGTGTTCAAAAACTATAAAACTGAAGTTGAGAACCAACTCGGCAAAATGATTAAAAGCGTCAGATCTGACCGTAAGGATGAATACTATGGCAGATATGACGGTTCAAGTGAACAGCGTCCAGGACCATTTGCTAAATTCCTAGAGGAATGCGATATCGTCCCACAGTACACTATGCCGGGTTCGCCCACTATGAATGGTGTTGCTGAGAGACGAAACAGAACGCTTAAGGACATGGTGAGGAGTATGATTAGTCATTCTACTTTACCAGAATCTCTCTGGGGTGAAGTATTAAAGACTGCAGCTTATATACTCAACAGAGTTCCAATTAAGGCCACTGATAAAACCCCATATGAGCTTTGGACGGGCAAGAAGCCTAGTTTGAAGCATATACATATTTGGGGGTGTCCAGCTGAGGTAAGGCCCTATAAGCCAAATGAAAAGAAACTGGATGCAAGGACCATCGGTTGCTATTTCATTGGATATTCTGAAAGGTCCAGGGGTTACAAGTTTTATGATCCCACAACTAAGACAATTTTCGAGACAGTAAATGTTAGGTTCTTTGAGGATGTTGAGTTTGTGAGGGAAGAAAGGGTTATAAGCTTTGTCTTTGAGGAGGAATATGTTGAAATTCCTCCAATTGCCATTGACAATGATCAGGTTTCTATCCCTGATATTGTTCAAGAAGCAACTCTGGATCAAGACAATGTCATATCTCCCTCTCAAGATCAACAAATTGTTCCAGAAGAACAAACTCTATAGCCTCAAGAACCAATGTCATTAAGAAGATCCACTAGAGAGAAGAGAAATGCGGTTTCGACTGATTACATCGTATTTCTTCAAGAACATGAAGTTGACATTGGAATGGTGGAAGATGATTCGATCAACTTCCGTCAAGCCATGGAAAGTTCTAACTCTCAAAAGTGGCTTGATGCTATGAATGAAGAGATAAAGTCCATGAAGGAAAATGACGTATGGGACCTCGTTCCATTGCCTGAAGGTGCGAAACCCATTGGTTGCAAATGGATATTTAAGACCAAGAGGGATTCAAAAGGTGATGTAGAGAGGTATAAGGCTCGTCTTGTCGCAAAGGGCTTTACACAGAAAAAAGGCATCGATTATAAAGAGACTTTCTCTCCGATTTCTTCGAAAGACTCTTTCAGGACTATAATGGCATTGGTAGCGCATTTCGATCTTGAGCTACATCAGATGGATGTTAAGACAGCGTTTTTCAATGGTGACATTGATGAAACAATTTATATGGTACAACCAAAAAACTTTGTATCGGACGATGCAAAGCAAATTGTTTGTAAATTAAAGAAATCCATCTATGGACTCAAACAGGCGTCTCGTCAATGGTATTAGAAGTTTCATAAGGTGATCATCTCAATTGGTTTTGAAATTAATTTGGTCGATGATTGTATATACCACAAGTTCAGTGGGAGCAAGTATATTTTTCTGATTTTATATGTCGATGATATATTGCTTGCCAGTAACGATATAGGCTTATTGCACGAAACCAAGAGATTTCTAGCAAAGAATTTTGAGATGAAACCGAGATCGTTCTCGAGGTATTCTTGGATTATCACAAAAGAGCTATATCGAAAAGGTACTTAAAAGATATGGCATGCAAGATTGTAAACCATGTGACACCCCTGTGGCTAAAGGATACAAGTTCAGCTTAAGTCAGTGCCCTAAAAATGACTTGGAAATTAAAGAAATGCAGAAGATTCCTTATTCCTCAGCTATAGGGAGTCTGATGTATGCTCAAGTTTGTACGCGTTCGGATATAGCGTACATTGTTGAGATGCTAGGGAGATATTTAAGTAACCCGGGAATGGATCATTGGAAAGCAGCCAAACGGGTCATGCGGTATTTACAGAGAACAAAAGACCACATGCTCACATACAGGAGATCGGATCAGTTGGAGATCATCGGTTATTCTAACTCCGATTTTGCGGGATGCCAAGATAGTAGGAGATCCACTTCAGGCTATATTTACTTGCTTGCTGGAGGTGTTATTTCATGGAAGAGTGCCAAGCAGACACTCATAGCTACTTCCACCATGGCAGCGGAGTTCATAGCGTGTTATGAGGCATCAAATAATGGAATATGGCTGCATAATTTTATCACTGGGCTGTGCATTGTGGACAATATAGAAAGACCACTTAAGATATTTTGTGACAATAAATGAGCAGTGTTGTATTCTAATAACAACAGGAGCTCGATGAAGTCAAAATATATAGAGATCAAGTTCCTGGCAGTTAAAGAAAGAGTTCAGAGTGGACAGGTGTCAATAGAGCATATTGGGACAAACTCCATGGTTGCGGATCCGCTTACTAAGGGATTGATACCCAAGGTTTTTCATGAGCACATTGCTCATATAGGTGTAATGTCTCTTGAGGATATGTAGTTTCAGCGGGAGTTTGTATTTTTGCTTTTCATATTGGACACATGCACTGTTGTTTTGAATACGGTTTAAAATTAAAGTTATTTTCAGTTATAAAGTTATCTCTGAACTTGTTTAAAATGATCTCACTAAGATATTAAGGTGGACCAGTTGGAAATAGGCATGTTACAAATTACATTACATGTAATTTTCATGCTACACATCCATGCTTGATCCATGTCATTCAGTTATATTGATATATGTGACCATTGATGGGTTTAGCTACGTGAAAGTAGTGAAAGCCGCTTTGATCCTATGTTGATATGATTGATGGACGGGATTATTTGGGGATACATTCGGTAATGATAGCAAAATTCTAAGTACTCATAAGGTTATGTTTAATGCACAATTATAAGGTGATACATATAGCCTAAGTGGGAGATTGTAAGGATTTTTAATCAATAGATGGACTTGTATGTGTGAATAATTGTGTGTTAAATTATAGGCTATCGAATTCGGTTGGACCCAATTAAAGTGATCTAATAAGGTTTCGATTTTGGATTTTAATGTATCCAATTAAAGTATGGGTTTACATACGTGTAAAGACCGGGTCCAAGTCCTAATTCTATGTTGGGCCGAATTAGGTTAAAGGGCGTCCCTATATAAATAGGTTATGGTCCCCAGATCACACGCACATATTATTCATTCTCTTCTGCATCCCATCACAGAGGGAAAAAGGAGACTGCGTGTAGGTTTGGCAGATTATACCGCGAAATTAATTATTACATTAACCATGTCTGATTCAAATATACTTCCACTTTAATTCTTCAATTTCTTGATGATTTAACATGAAAGATCCGGTAATTTAAAGTATTAAATTATCCAACATGTTTGATTTAGACAATTTCTTTTTGTGGGTAAATAGCTATAGAGGGGAACTAGATTTGCTTTCTTGTGATAGTGTTCGCCTTATCTAATTCTCCACGTAAATTTTTAGAGCCATACATTAGAACATTCAAATTTCAACCTGAAATAACTCTCTACAAACCTTCGACTTTTCTAAATTAGAACAACAAACTTCATCAAAATAAAAAATCTGATCTTCAAATTTCTTGGACATTCAACGTACATTTGATAATTTTGAGCATGATAATCAACATGATTTCATGATTTGATTTGAGTGCCCCAAATCCTTCTTACAAGGGAGAGGCAAGGCTTGGAATTGAGCATCAAAATCTGAGAGCCAATATCGATAGATCTGCGAGATACTTTTTATTAACTTTGTGATGTAAGACATCTTAATATTTTTTTCTTTTAAACAATAAGCACATGTTTTTTTCATTGAACACAAGAAGCACATGTTTGGACCAGTTGGTTGTGCAAATGAAGAAATAAAACATTTTCAAGAATGAGCTATTTTATATGTTAAAGCATTGACAAAAAAAAAAAAAAAAAATTAAAACGATCGGACAAATAAAGGAATAAAATATAGCAATATATCGAATCGATCATCACAACCTATGTCACGTGATACTTACCATAGAATTTTCCACTGTTTGAGTATTCAAAGCAATACGAGAAGTCTATGTTTAGGGTGCATTTGAATGCGAGCATGAAATTTGTATGAAAAAAATAAATTAATTACCTAAAACTTATTTATATGAAAATTATTAATTAAATGTGTTTGATATATTTAGTTTTTAACTTAAAATATATTATACTTGTTTATTATTTATTGGTGGTTAGAAGAGAGAGAGAGAGAGAAAGAGAGTAAATTACTTGAAAAAAAAAAAATCATCCCTCCCTAAATAAAATATTTTCCTTATTTTTGAGCAAAATATGGTTAAATCGTCAAAAGTTGAAAAAAGTTTTTCACGGAAAAAATTATCAATCAAATACCCAAAAAGTAAGAATTTGAATGGAAAAATGATTTTTTTTATAAAAAAAAAAAGGAAAAAAAAAGATAAAAAAGTCACACACACACACACACATACACATACTTTTAAAAAAAAATAAAAAAATAAAAATTTATCACTTAACTGATTGATGCCCATCTAAGAAAAGTATTAGAAATCAATAGGAGCCCGTTCTGTTACATTTACAATTTTAGAGAAAATCGTATGATAATTCTTTCTAGATACAATTCAAGATATAAGAAACTCATGAAAAAATTTCAAAAATCTAGTGGTCACTATTATAATTTTTTGACTTAATTAATTAAATAGGTTAAAATCATAATAACACAATTTATGATTATTGTCGCAAATCACATAAAGTTAAGAGTCACGATGACAAAAATTGTGAATCATAATCACATATTTTTTTAGATTACATATTATTTAGTTGGTCACAAATTACCCACTTTATCAGTCACAATACCCAAATAATTATTCATAAATGCTCTTCACCACACCACCACTCCACCACCATCGGAACCATCCTAATGTCATGCCATGCCACCTCACTTCCACCACCACTACCACCATCTGCAAACTAGCCTCTGATTTGAAATTACAAACAAGGGCTTGCAATTTCATAAATTGTACTAAAAGCAGCCGTCCACAGATCCTCTCCCAAACCTTAAATTTTCTTTCTTCTCGTTGTCTAGTGACACTCATGCTCCATCTCAGGTAGAGTTGGTAAAAATCAACTCAAATCGACCAACCCTGATTTTTAAGTTCAATTGGATTGAAAAATCAAACATGATGTTGGGTTGGATTTGGTCTCAAGCTATGAATTAAAACTCAGCCTAACCGGTTGAATTAAAAAAATAATATCTAAAATAAAAAATCCTAAATAGACCCGAAAGTGGAGATAAGAGAATAACCTAGCCATTATTTTTTACATATTATGCTAACTAACATGAATACTATGTATAAATACAAAGCTATTCGATGATTAACTAAAAATTAAGGATATGATGATGAAATGAATGAATCACAAAAAAATTGTTAAAAAGAAAACACTCTTTTTTTTAAAAAAAAAACTTAAATGATGAGACCGATGATGAATCTTCTCCGACCAGGCGAAGAAGGCCAAAAAAGGCAGTCAATAAAAATTTCAAAAAGCCTTTGGAAAGAAAAGAAAAGAAAAAAAACCTACTGTTGGTTTGCTTGAAAAACCATGAAATTTTTGATTATTATGTCAAATTTACTTTAGTTACCATAAACAATGATCCGATTATTCCTTCTGGATAGGATGCTAAATGAAGTTTTAAGACCTTTGGATTCTAAACAAAAAGCGTTGATTTTTTATACCAATAATCAAGTGGGAAAAATCATTCAAAGAATCTTGTTACGTCATTATTTGATTTTGAAAATAGGTCATTATAGAAAGGAGGTTAGAGGAAGTGGATAGGTTACGACAAGTAAAACAAGGAAGGGGAGTGGAATAATTTTCTAAAGACATTAGAGAGGACATGGAGCCCAAATTGACCGGTCCGACCAAAATCGATTGTTAGTTTGGGTAGATTTGTGTTTAAAGCAATAATTAGGTTGTGTTTGGGTTGGATAAAAAATCGATTCAACTCTTGTCGAGCCCTAGGTGCACCATAGATCGTAATAACGTAGCATGATGTCGTGAACAATAGCCGATGTTGCTTAGCACTACGACGATGGTGAAGTGGTGGTGACTAGCGACGGTGGTGATGACAAATGGTAGTGGTGGGCGATAATTTTTGTAGTGTGGGTGTGAATTGTGACTTGGGAAATGGGTAAAAGAATAGATGGGGTGATATTAAGTGAGGTAGAGTATGATATATACTGGAATTTTTTGAAAAAATAATGTTGAAATCTGATTTTTAAATGACAAGTCTAGAAAAAAAATTTGTAAAACCCAATTAAAGGCGGGCCTATCAAAGAATAACCCATGTCTGTTTGACAGGAGGAAGAGCGGCCGGCCTAGGTTTTCTTTCTCGGTATTACTTAAAATTAGAAACATATTCATCACGGCACCAATCTATCTTATGTTGCAGTGATTTCTACTCAACTTCCTCATCACCAAACTTGGAAGGTAGTATCGGATTGTATGTGTTAAAACGGGCTTTATATGTTGAAATCCACTGGATTTGTTTGTTGTGAATGATTTAATTTGAACTCAACTCTTATAATTTATATGTTTCATTTACATGAATTAAAATAAAATTCCTCAAGGGTTGATTCATGGACAGAAGCGTAATGTAATGGCATTAATTTTTTCAGGAAAAGGGGCTGAGTTTATAGCTTTGTGTAACCTTAACGTGATTGATAAAATGCTCCAGAGATATTATTTTCATGAAATGAACCAGCTCAATTACTCAACTTTCACGTACGATTCCCAATGCATTTTCTTGTTCAAACTTTGACACTGCTACTTAATTGCTGGAATTTTTAAACAAATTTCCCGTTCAAGCTTCATTTGTGCTCCGGTAATGAAAATGGGGCTTATTGCTAGGTAATTTTTCAATTGTGAGTTTATTGAAGGAAAGATGAAGAAAGGAATCCATCCTCAGATGCAATGGATATCCTATGTGACCCAGAGTGGTCGATTGATGCCCGTTATGATGAGCAAAATACACCAAGTTGGTAAAGTCTATCATTTCAGGGCTAAGCGGCAGATGGCTCAAAGTATTGGACAGATTGCCAAATTTAAGCGTCGTTATGGACAGCAGCAGGAAGAGGAAACCCAGGACCAGGAGAAATAAATTCTTTTGAGGTGCAAAATGAATGGTACATTGCTCTATTATAATGTATTAAGATTCACCCACCAAGTTAACAAATGGTGTTTCGTTCAGTTAATACAGTTGCTGAGTTGCTCCTTGATGCACATTTGTTTTCTATTCACTTTCCAGTTAGAATTCCAGTTGCCTTACTTTTTTTAATCCACAGGATATTATACTAGTATATCTTTGTAGTGTTAAGTTGGATGTTGGCTGAATGAATTTCTATGATGTTCACAATCTGAAGATGTTCCTTGAGAGTTGCATGCTAATATTTGTAGTTTCTGTGTAAAAAATATAAGTCAGCTTCGAAAGCTGGATAATTATCTGAATTTTATGTTTTAGGATCTGCCCACCAAGTTAAATAATGGTATTTCATTCCGATAAATATTTGCCGAATATCTCTTCAATGCACATTCGCTTTATATTTTATTTCCCTGTTCGAATCCCAGTTTGTTTAATTTGCAAGAATAGAATTCTCCCCGTTTAGGGTGGAATAGAAAAATAAGTGGAGTGAAAAGTTGGAGAAAAGGTAGAAATTTCATACGTTTCACAACATTGAATGTTGCATGCTAATCAATCTCTATATTCCAACACGTTGATATAACTGCGCTACCATATGCTTGTTGATGCTACTTTTTCCCTGTGTATTTATTGTCTGATTTTTGTGTTCTTTAGCATTTATGCTTTCACATTTTCCTAGTACCGAGAATTGTTACTTGTTTATCACGGTGCATATCTATAACCAGAGCATTCCATCTTTTAGCTTCACTCTACACTTTCTTGAATTTATCATATCTTAGGAACTTAGGGTCAGGTTTGATTTGCAGCTTCTCCTTTTTAACTATGTCCAATTTTGTACAATTCACTCTACCAAACGTCCGGTTAATGTCGTAGTTTCTGATTCAATCTAGTTTGGCACAAGTTAATTATATAGGGAATGAACAGAGGATTGCTAAATTTTCTGTTAGTTGATTACGTTTTCGATGAATTTGAGTGTCTAATCACTTGTACAAGATCAGTGACTGACCCTGAGTAGTGGATTACTGTTGCTTGCTAAATTTTATCAACTCATTTATGTAATATATAGTTAAATAGTTACAAGCACTAGGCAAAAATTAGAGTACATATTAATATCCAAGTAAGATAAGGGGGATTTGAGAATGTTTGACTAGTCTCACTTTTAAGTTTTTATTTCTACCTTATGTTTAAGTAAAAAACGTTACTTATCTTTACGGTAAAAAGCGGTTAGGCTAAGCTTAGAAGGTGCTTGAAAAACACATATTTGTGTTGGTAGAAACATACTTTTGACAAAATGTGCTTAAATGTACAGGCTTTTCTAGTCTCTGTAAGGTAAATTCCTTTATCATCTTTGGATCATACGAATTGAAAGTTTTTAGATGTTTATATCTTGAGTGTGAAATATTGATCAACTTAAATTTTCTCTGAGATTGATGCCATTCTGTTCATTGTACGCATTTTAAATTCTTTACCCTAACACTTCAGTTTGATAGGGTGGATTATCCACATTGCAAAATGATATTGATGTAGAGAAATGTAACTACTTTTAGTTAATTGGGAGGTGCAAGTCAATCCATATCACCTAATCACCCGGATTTAGGCTCGAGTGTTCACCACGATCTCATTCCATTTGAACGTCACTTTGAAAGATACTTTATGAAGGTGTCATTGGGCTTTTCGCAAAGAGCTCGAATGTGGGACCTTAAGCTTTGAAATTGACTACTTATGTAGAGATGTAATCACTTTGACTAATAGCTATAACTAATGGGAAAGTGCAAAATTTAACATGTATCACTTAGATTCAAGCCCGAGAATTCAACCCTAGTTCACTCCATTTGCGCTGAAGGGCACCTTACGAAGGCTTCATTATATCATTTCTACATAGCGGCAATAGGTCTACTCCCATTTCAAGTATGTTCTTACGAACAAAAAAAAAGGTCTACTCCCATTTCAAGTATGTTCTTACGAACAAAAAAAAAAAAAAAGGAAAAAGGGAGAGAGAGAGAGAGAGAGTATGGGTTTTTTGTTATCCCTTTTGTTTTTGCTTCCTCTTCTTGTAAAATAGATTTTGTAGGAAGTTACCTTAAATTTTATTTAGAAACTATTTTTAAAAGAGTTTTCTATTTTAAAAGTATTTTTAGAGAAAATCATATTGAACAAGTTTTTTTTCTAAAAATTCTTCTAACTAATAGAATTACTTTTGTAAAAGAATTAATCTAATAGTACATAATGAGGTGTACCTAAGGATGTACACTCCCCTCACACGGAGTGTGGAGTTCACCCGTTGTTCCTTATGTACACCCTTATGTACCATTAGCACCACCGTTCTTAAAATTAGCCAAACAGATTCAAAAGCTGCTTTTGACTCTTAAAAGTTCTTTTTGACTTTTCAAAAATCATGTCAGACAGGTTGTAAGATTTATTAAAAAAAAAAATTGGTAATAAATCATTTAAAGTTTTAATCAATGTATAATCTAAATAGGAAAAAAAAAAACTTATCAGTAAAAATCATGTTTGCTCTCTACAAAAATGAAAATTGGAAATTTCAAGAGAAATATTTTCTACTAAAATTTTTTAAGATTTGAGTAAAATTTTGTTAAATAATAGTATATGTTAGTTCATTAAAACACTTTGAATTTTATTATTAAATAATAATAGATATAGAATATAACGCTTGGTTAATGTGATACATTAATCATTCAAATGTTTCAAAACAAAATAAATAAATTTAAATGATTATAATTTAAATTATGTTGAACGAGCTCTACATAACTTGTCAAGCTATATTTTTCTAATAATTTACTTTAAAAAATAAATTACAATTAATCATAAAAGAAATCATATTTTTTTCTTCGTAATGACATTTTAGGCAAATCAGCCACTTTTTAGATTATATATGACTCAAAGTTGCTATGTGGTGTATATGATACTCAAAATCGAGAAATATGATAGATTAATGATATTTTGAAATGTGAGGTGTTGTCTATGATAGTGTTTAATGAATAAAGTATTTTATCCAACGTGATTTGCATCAAATAATCATTTGTTATGTATATGCCACATAGAACAATTATTCAGTGAGCGACTACAAATAACATTTTTCAAAATTATTTACATTAACTTCACATTTTACAAAATCCAAATAGACAAAATTATGGTTAATTTTGAATTTCATATTAGTAAATTACCATCTAATGAGGTTTTACCTAACGGAGCTTTGATCTAATATGGAAAGGTAGAATTGTAATGAAATCCAATCTCAATGGCGAAACTTAGAACCCTAAAATTCCCATTTTAAATTTAATAAATAAAACATATGAAAAAATGAAAAAAGAAAGAAAGGACAAAATGAATAAATTGTTTTCTCCAAAGTGTGACTAAAATTGTCACGAAAGGACGGAAGTATCCTTATTGGACAATACAAGGTTGGAGTGACAAAATCGAAACGAGGATAGGATCATAGGAGACTGCTTACAGACCCAACTCTTTCTTTAAACCCTGCTGAAACTTGGAAAGAAAAAGAGAACTTTTCATCGAATCAAGGTGAGGTTCATACTTACATGACACACACACCAGCAAATGGGTAGATTGATATATCCGTGTATATGTAGATATTTTATCGATTTTTTTTTTTTTTTTGCTTCGCATGTTTGATAAATGTCCTGAAAGAATTCTGTCATGAACTATATACTGAATCAAACTAATTACATTAATTTCAAACGTATTATATTTGACAGCCATTAAATCCCTTTATTGAAAGCTATGCTACTCCATTTAGCAATTTATAATTCTTTATTTCATTTTTTCCGGGCCATTTCTTTGTGGTGCCTGGACACACGCAATACATGACATATATGCATATATTTATTAATAGCCTGTTTTGAAGTGCTATCTGTAGAATGGGAATGTTCTGAAGATTTCAGAGGTTTGTAGATTAGAAAGAAAAGTAAAGTACTTTAAAATTACTTTGGTAGAAGATTAGAGCTTTCATTGATTGAAATACGATCTGCATTACTTTATACCTAAATGGGCCGGTGTTGAATGAGCTACAACAATAAACTAAGCCTTGAATTTTTATTATCTATCAGTAGAGAGTCGCTTCATAACATTTTATGGTCCCTCCAGTGCCAGAGTGGCTCTTTTAAGAAGTTTTTCAAAGTTTGTTTACTATTAGCTTGCTTTTAGAATAGCATTTTGTGTCACAACGTGATGTGATAACCACTATTGAACATAGCATGCTGAGACACACCAAAAGGTAGTTCCCTTTGTATGGACTGATTTGTAGTAGATCTTTTAATCAGGGTTGAATAATAAATATTTTGCATAGCTTGGAAAACTTCAAATGGCAAAAGGTGTATTTCTTATTACAATTTATATTGGGATTGTTTAAACTGTTCGCTGGCTTTCAATCTCTCTCTCTCTCTCTCTCAAAATCAATTGGACTGTTCCTATTAAACAAAATATCTTGCCTCCATCAGGCTGTTATATTTGTTGCAATGGCTTCGTCATCCACATTTTCTTCATGGACCTTCTATGGAAGTACGCTTGCCCCCAAGACAACAAAGCATTGTAGCAAGTTTATTTACAGTTGTTTGAACAGCTGCTTTAACCAAACCATTTCTTCTATATCCTCGTATGCATCTCATGACATGACATCACCTAATGGGAAAGGGGTTGACTGGGCATGGGGAGGGTTGTCACTCAAGAGCAGAGCCCAATGCAGAGCACTGGAGGTGGGCATTGAATCTTCATATTCGGTGGGGAATAAGTTTCAACTTGAGGATGTTATTGAGGCACAACAATTTGACAGAGATGCTCTTGGTGCTATATTTGAAGTGGCACTTGAGATGGAGAAGATTGAGAAAAACTCAACTGGAAGCCAAATGCTGAAGGGGTATTTAATGGCCACACTCTTTTATGAACCGTCAACTAGAACTAGGCTTTCATTTGAGTCTGCCATGAAACGTTTAGGTGGGGAAGTTTTGACCACAGAAAATGCTCGTGAGTTTTCATCTGCAGCAAAAGGAGAGACCCTTGAAGGTAGTCATTCATTCCATTGGCTTACTTAAATTTTATACAGTAATTTTCAAATTCTAATTTCATATTGATCTTCAGATACTATAAGAACAGTAGAAGGGTATTCCGATATAATCGTGATGAGACATTTTGAAAGTGGTGCTGCCAGACGAGCAGCAGCAACAGCCAGCATTCCCATTATTAATGCCGGAGATGGCCCTGGACAGCATCCAACTCAGGTCTAAACCTCATTATTAGAATTGTTATTGTTCTCAAGTCCTTCAAAATAAATTTCATGACTCTTTTTAGATTCCTCTGCATATAACTTATTATGTATCCACATATATATATTTTTTTAAATATGTATCATCACAAAAATCTGTAGATTGTATGCATTATGTGAGTTGTGGGTGGTACAATATAATTATTGATAGGGATACTACTCAGCGTATCAAAAAAAGTTTCTTTATATGTGTTGTAATTATAAGAAATCTTGTGATTCTAATTTAGATTAAGAACTAGATTAATTAGTAGATTGTATCTCACGCATATACCTTTAATAATTCATATTCATTAAAAAAAAAAAAATGTTGATTATATCCAATTTTTGAGTTGTGGGTGGTACAAGATCAAACCTGAGTTTTCTGGATGCTCTTCATACAATATCTACAAAATTGACAAGTTTGAATATGTCCGTGTTGAGTTTAACTTTTATTTGTAATTTTTTTTGTGAAATTTCGTTCTCGAGTAACTTTACTCTTTTTTTTTTATCGGTTAACTTTACTCTTTTTACAAGGCGTGACGCATGTTAATGTGGTTTTTACTCATTGATATAGAATCATTACTTTTAATGTCTTAAATTCACTTCTTCACCTTCGTCAAGGTATTCTATCAAAAATTAGATCTTAAAAGACATGGATTTGTGGAGTCATTTTCTTATATGGGACCTAGTTTCTTTTGGCTGGTGGAGGAGATTAGGTTTATTGATGCCAACCACTTATCCTCTATTCGAACTCTTTCAGGATTCGAACATGACACTAGCGGCTCTTATACTAGAAATTCACTTTATTTGGGAGGCTAGATAATGGCGAGTAATTCAAAAGTTTTCCAGATGCATCTTTATTTTGCATTTTTAAGGTTGGGGATTAAATCTATTGGCCTAATTGTAAGAGACCTAAAATGGAAATTAGCATAACCACAAACGAGTACCTCTCAGATCAAAAAGTCCACGAGGGAAGAAATAAACCATAATTTGGGGGCTAAATGTCTAAATGATTCCATACTACCTTGAACTAGCGGTTGGTTGTCTTATGGAGTACCACATGATACAAATTTGCTGCGGTATATATAGGTTCTATTTCCATGTGTCGTGTAGGTTTGAGAGCATAGTGAACTATTCATTTTATTCTATTTCATTTCACCTCTGTACATTGTAAACAGGCTCTGTTGGATGTGTACACTATCGAAAGAGAGATAGGAAAACTTGATGGCATCAAAGTTGGACTCGTTGGAGATCTTGCTTATGGAAGGACAGTACGCTCACTTGCCTATCTGCTTGCCAAGTATGAGGATGTTAAAATCTACTTTGTGTCTCCCGATGTGGTAAAAATGAAGGTATACAAGAGACTGAAGTTGTTCATCAGTAAGCACATGGATAACTAAAGATTTTTCTTTTTTTTTTTAATTCTCTCTTTGTTTAACTGATAAAGGAATGGATGCTAGTCGCATGTTCTCTTCCTTTTTGTTCATTGTACTCTGGATATATTTTAGGCCAGTGAGAGAGTGGCATTTGATTATTTTCCAACTGTAATTTTAGGATGACATAAAAGATTATCTGACATCTAAGGGAGTTGAATGGGTAGAAAGTGCTGATCTAATGGAAGTGGCTTCCAAATGTGACGTGGTTTATCAAACCCGTATTCAGCGAGAACGATTTGGAGAGAGAGTTGATCTTTATGAAGAAGCAAGAGGCAAGTACATAGTGGATTGTGATGTCCTGAGGGTAATGCAGAAACATGCTGTGGTGATGCATCCACTACCAAGGCTCGATGAGGTTATCTTGTGATGTGTGCTTGATATATTTTGGCATTATGTTCTTTTCAATTACTTTTTCCGCATCCTAATTGTTTTGTGTTTTCACAGATAACTGTCGATGTGGACGCGGATCCAAGGGCTGCCTATTTTAGGCAAGCCAAAAATGGTCTCTATATTCGAATGGCTCTTTTGAAGCTTTTACTTCTAGGTTGGTGAGAGAGGTGCATTTATTTATTTTTTTTTCAAAATTTGGGAGCCACTTCCTCTTAAAGGAGTTGAGTTGCGGATATTCGAGTTAAATGTAGTATATTCAATGGTTGTTTTGATTTTGAATGTTGAATGAGTTTGTTCTTGATTAACCAATAATTTTGTAAATCTATTTCTAGTCATCTTCTTTATTGTGTTATGTCTTTAAATCACTTTCAAGTCAACTTGGTTATAATTTTTCTTATTATGTATTTCAATACTATTTATATTGTAAATTTTAAAAGAGGAAATTACCTAGAAACATACCTTTAAAGACTAGTTTTCATAAATAACGGAAATTAATTTTCATTTCACAAAGTAGATGGTAATTCAAAATTATTAAATTAATTAATACAGGGTTTAATAATGGAAAGCGTTTTATATATTCACTCCCAGCCGACACAACCATTCACCCTCTCAAATTAATCTTTTTCTCGCTCCTCAACCTTTCTATCGTCTTCTCTTTCTTTCTTGTTACGGTAGCTGGAGTCCACTGCAACGATGACCATCGCGTAGTTGCTTCCACAGTGCGGCGGAGGTGAGCAGCCCTCTCTATCTAATAGCAGAGCTGTCGCACTGTGCAACCACTATCAATACTAGTTTTGAATATGCGATTTCAAGGAGTTGATGAAAAGGGAAGAGCGGGGCGCTGTTATAACACCAATGCCAAATTCCCTCTCCAATAAATTCTCCTATTGCTTTGTTCTTTCGCTCAAAGTAGCAAAAGTCAATAGAATCTCGTTGAAAAAATGGTAAGCGACAGAGGAGGAGAGATGAAGGAGGTGAAATCGAAGGCTGAGCTTGATCTAACCATTGGGAAGCGCTCTCCGATCATTCTACACTTTTGGGCGTCATGGTATGAGGCCTCCAAGTACATGGACCAAGTTTCTCTCATCTCTCCACTGATTCACTCTAGCCCACAACCATTGGGAAGCGCTCTCCGATCATTCTACACTTTTGGGCGTCATGGTATGAGGCCTCCAAGCACATGGACCAAGTTTCTCTCATCTCTCCACTGATTCACTCTAGCCGACTTTCTCCTGATTTATACTTACCATTTCTCTCTCTTTCTGAATCACACACAATGTAGTCTTTATCATTATTATTTATTTGACATCATCAATGTTGGTCTGATTTTTGTTTTTATTGGTGAATATAGATCTCTTTGCTTTTCTTGTTTCATTTTTTTTAGTTTAATATGAGAAATTCAAACATGGGTAATTAGCACAAAACGTCTCTAACTTTCATGATTTTTTTGGAAAACGTCCATACTTTTCGTTTTTTGGCGCATTTCATCCATACCTTTATCTTTTCTTGTCCAAAACATCTTTTTTTTATCATTTTTCTCAATAAAAAGTTATAAAATGATTAATATACCCTTCTATTTAAATAAGAAAAATAAATAACTAAATGCAATCGTAATTCCAAATAAAAAAATAAATAAATCGTCCACCTCCACCTCCTCTTTTGAACTTTTTTAAAAATTGGAACTATGATTGTAATTAGTTCTTTATTTTTTTTATTTAAATAGAAGGGTATATTAGTTATTTTAAAACTTTTTATTGAGAAAAATGATGAAAATGATGTTTTTCACAAGAAAATGTGAAGATAGGGATGAAATGATCCAAAAAAGAAAGATGTGGACATTTTTCACAAAAATCATGAAAGATAGGGACGTTTTATGCTAATTACCCTTCAAACATTATTAGGCAATAATGAGGTGAGATGTTATCTATTTCTAATTTTATATTTGGTTAGAACTTTTGTTCCCAATTAAATATTATATGGTAGAAACTGAGTGTCTACTTGAAGCAAGCAATATTGGTTGCTTATTATTTAAATTTTAAGTTGAAAGAAAGAAACAGAATTTGAGAAAGACTTGAAATGCAAAATTATGTGTTTTGCTGATTGTGGGAAATCCATGGTATTTTTCTTTCGGACTTGTATCGAAATACCCCAAAAGGATAGCTGCTTTTGCTGAAACTCGACTAGGTTCTTGAACATTTTGTGTCGCTAGTCATGTTTTAATAGCTTCTTCCCACTTTGTTTTAACGGAAGTCCAAATAGTTAGGTTGTGGTGTTAGTGTTTGAATCTGCACTTTGAAATTCAAGAATGTTGAGAAGGTAATGATCCCGTTAATGGCTGTGGTGTTAGCGTTTGGTGTGGTATTGGGTGGTTTGCGCCGTGGTGTTTGGTTGTGGTGTTAATTGTTGGTAATGTTTGGTAATATTTGAGATAAATGTATTATTTATGGTCACATATTAGAGTTGAAGGTGATAGTTGTGGTGTATTGGAGGTGATGGTGGTAGTGACTGGTGGTGGATTGTGGTGTTGATTTGCGATATATGCAGATTTGTTTGTGGTGACCATTAGTGATTAAATATGTGTTTATTGTGACTGGTTGTGATCAATTCTATGTTAATTATAATCAATTATGAGTTGATCACATGCCGTCAAATTAAGATTGACCTGGTTACAGATAATCACACTGAAGACAAATTTGATCACAGTTAATTACATTGAAAATAAATTTGATCACAATTAGTCATAGATAACTCTAGTTAGTGATTTGGTTATATACAGTCACAAATTAGACGATCACAAATAGCCACATTGAAAATAAATTTGGTTACAGTTAATCATACATAACACAAGGTAGTGACTTGATTATATACTGTCATAAATTAGACAATGATAATAAATAGTCACACTTAAGACAAATTTGGTCACAATTAATTATATATAACACAAGACTGATAAAAAAAAAAAAAACAAACAAAATAGTCACATATAACCTTTAATCCTTTACTTAAAGATTCAATTTCATAATTTAGGTCTTAATTATTTTTTGAGGATTTACTTATCTATTATTGAAAGTTATTGACCAAATGTTTTATAGAATTGAAATTGAGGGGCTTTCTTTGCAAAATTGGAGTCAGTGCTCCACTACCTAGCATCCACTTAGACCCATTTTCTTCATTTGAAACAAACATGGGTTGAGAACGAGAAGCAGAGACTAGAGAGGAAAGAAGACCAAAAATAAAATAAAATAAAATAAAGAGAAAGAAGTGACTACAAAATTCATGTAAAATCATCAATTATCACCACCACTCCAACCATGATATGTTTTCTACCCTCACTTTTGTTCAAGGATCAATTGTCACCATCACTCCAACCATCAAATTGCCTTGATTTTCTACAACATGAAATTGCGTACAACAGTCACAAAATAAGAGCTCAAAATTGAACAACTTGAGAAACTTTAATGGATAAAATCAACAAACATTTCAACCGATCAAGGATAGACGATGTGATAAAAAATTCTTCGAAAGTTGCGATGCATACAAACGATTACGAGTCAGATTTTTAAGTTCCATGGCAACACTGGATGTATAAGATATTCAATTTCATCCAAAGCAGTAGCGAGATTCCGAGATGCTAGCAAAATTTTAATTACAGCACATAATTAATGTAATAAGTAAGTTGATCCATCCTCAGAAAGGCCGATCGTCACAATTCGTCTCACATTCTACAATTAAAGGAAGAAGTAAATAGTACAGGAAAATCAAAAAAATTGAAACCCTAGATTTTGGAAAATGACAATGGTAGTGCGATTAAGATCGGGTCTTCCATTCCTCCGCCGAGTCGTTGCCACCCACACTATCTTAGCCATCAGTGCCAAAAGATCCGCCGCATTGAAATCCCTCATCCGACCTCTCACCACCAACGAATTATCGTTGATTGAAGTGGGTATGATGGATTGGAGTGGGTGTGGTGGATTGGGAGAGAAAATGTGTTAGTGAGAGATTATGTAGGAATTTAGCCCTTGTTTGAGCTCCATTCTTTTGAAAAAATACATTTTCAACAGTGTTTTGACATCATTTCAACCATATATTTTTAATAAAATGATATTACACGTAAATCCTAAACTTTTTCTTAATTTTTAACCACATATTTTCCATTAATAAACTATATAAAAATTCATTTTTCCCAAAAAATAGGGCTCAAACAAGGGCTTAATTTCTTAAATTTCATACATAATAATATCTTATAAATATATGTAATATATTATTGTAATTTATTACCTGATTTTTGAAAAAAATTTGTAAGTTTGTTAAACGTGAAATTATATATTTAGTGTTTTTGAGTCATATTATTTTGAAATAGTAGATTGATGAAGAATGTGTAGTTAAAAAATGAGAAAAAGTTTTGGATTTGCAATATTATTTTATTAAAAATGTACAGTTAAAATAATATCAAATCACTATTTAAGAATATATATTTTTGAAATAATGCGATTCAAACAAGGCCTTAAAGCATTGTAGATGTGTATTTTTTCCCATTTTAAAACAATGTAAAAACACTTGGGAAATGAAGAAGGGGAAAAGACTGGGCTTGTAAGTAAGCTCATTTCAAAGATACTGGCCCTGTACCAAATAAATACTTATGGGCCTAAGCCCACGAATTAAGAAGGAATCGATGACGTCGTGCGACCTTCTGTCCAACAATTGCAAAACCCTTCGCCTATTCTTTGCCCGCAAGGTCCGATCTTTCTCAGACTCGGGTATTTCGTTTTGCATTTTCATTAGCTAATTTTGTGTTATAAATTTGATTTCTTGATGAAATTTTGATCTTACTCTACAGGGAAGAAGCTTTAGAAGAAGTAAATGAGTGCTTTTAACGCTTTTAAAGCTAATGTTCCAGTGGCGTGGAGCCCTAACCTGTACATAACCCTAGTCAGGGGTATTCCGGGTACCAGGAGACTCCACCGGCGCACGTTAGAGGCTTTACGACTCACGAAATGCAACAGGACTGTCATGCGGTGGAATACGCCTACTGTCAGGGGAATGATCCAGCAGGTCTTAAATTACATTATATGAAATACAGATCACCCTAGTTTATTCAATTGTCTTGAAAAATTAATCTTGATTGATTCCTTTGTTTGACTGATTTTTTTTGTTTTATGTTAATTGTAGGTGAAAAGGTTGGTTGTTGTTGAGACGGAGGAAATGTACAATGCAAGGAAACAGAAAGAAGCGAGTCACCGAGCTCTGCGCCCTCCACTGGTCATTAATCATCAACCAATCCCTGCTCCAGAATCTTCTGCATAACTGCTACTTCCTGAATTGTAAGTTCTTCATTTCTGTTTCGATGAATTTTGGTTATAATACTGTAACAAACTTTATAAAGATTCATGTAATTCTGACTCATGGCGATCTTAAACATGGCCAGTTTCCCCAAAAGGGCGCGTTTCATATATTTTGAGTTTCCTTATTTTACACATTCAAAGTAATTTAGAATTTCTGTTGACATAGAAAGGCATAATTGTTGAAGCCTATTTTTGCGCACTCTAAATCTTGATTAACTGCAAGGCTATGGAGTTTTACGTTCTGTTTCATTGTGTTTCATGGAAATCTAAACTACAGAAAGAAGTGATGATGTGGCATTTATACGCATTGCACAGAAATTTCATTCCACGCATTTTCCATATTGGAAAAATAGCAGTACTATGCCATATAGGAGGGAAAATTATCATCCATGTGAATTATTTTTTCCCAAAAATCCTTTGAAGTGTTCTTGACTAGAGAAATGGTAAGTAGGTCTATCCGCTTCTATGTAACTTGAATCATATGAGAATTGGGGTTTGAGCTCTTTGCTTGTTACTTGGATCCTGTTTCTATTGCATCCAGATAAGTTAAAAGAGCTTTCTCTTACCTTCAGCTTAATATGTGCTCATCGTCACTCCTAAACTTCTATCCTTCATCTTTAATCTGATGTTGAAGTTCTGGTGCTGGAAATACTTTACACTCGTTAACAATTGCTAGAGAAGGAATACTTAATTCATGGCCTTTAGATTTTTGTAGTTCAAAATCATCCCAGCTACTTGACAATTTTTCATATCACGTGTAGTTTGTAGAAGAAGCTTGTCTTATGGAACATTAGGTTGGGTCCAATAAGCAGGATCATTAAGATTTTGGTTTTATCGGTGTCTGTGACTGCATAGTCCTTGACATACAATTTTTATGATCAGACTTAGTCTTTGATATCCAAGTTTAGTTCTTGTGTTTGCAATTGTCTTCTTTGCTGTCTAATATAGTAGGTAGAGTTATTCTAACCAAGAAGCTCCTAATTATTGCCAGGTATAATTATCCTAGATTTTCAAGTAAAAGGCTTCATTTTGGAGTATTTTTTTGGTAGTTACTTTAAAAATTGTTCTTTTTTCCAATGTCCGTTTCTTTTCTTGTAGGTTGTCAAGCTAGATCATGTTTGTAAATCCGGTTTTGAAGTACTGAAGTTTTTCAAATTTGGCTGCAAATGCGTGTAGTTATGTTTTTATTATTTGTCTAATCTACTCGTGTTTATGTTGGAAAGGGGAGTGTACTTTCGAAAGCTGATCCAATTCATTTACACCTTTTCAGTTAGATTGTTGATTATATTAACACTGACAAGAGGATTGAAGATGTGCTTTGAATAATTTTTTGCCTTTAAAATTGATTTTTACACGGCATATTCTTCCACACATTTGTATAATTACGTTCCAGGTAAATAGAGTTTTCTCTTGGCATAATGAATCAAAATTTTTGGTTAACCGACAAATTGCAAACCTTTTATATCCTCACTCATACAAACATAATTCAGGTTCAAGAATAATGCAAGAAAACTTCTCTTCCCTATAGCGCTCTGTTTGGTTGCAATAATTACCTGCCCTGCCCTGCCCTGCCCCAACCCAACCGAAAAAAAGAACATTTCTTTACATTCAAATGAAAGAAATGAGTGGTAAACTAGTAGCTGCTGCAGAAGTAGCCTTTTCTAAGGCATACAATTTGGCAAAAACCCCAACCAGTGGGGCTGTATTATATGTTCAGGGCTCTGTTTGCATGAATGTTTCCCCTGTTATCCCTGAACTCATCCTTCACATCTGGTCCCCCAGCCAGTGCTCCATACCTGCCGTCCATACCATTTATCATATCCCTGTGTGTACCCCACGGATCCTTTGCTATCTCTGTATGATTATGTGGATACACCCCTGTGGTGCACTCTCTTAGGATAGGTAGGTCCATAACCCACCAAATAACTCATTCCCTTAGGATTAGAGCCCAAAATGTTGGCAATTTGTGATTTTACGAAGGACAGGGTCCTATTAGAGAGAGCCCACTAAATCTCCTTGGCAGTTGAGCATTTGATTGGTGGTTTGGAGATAATCAGAGTAGACTGTGAGTAAAGATGCTGCATTGGAGACGTACTGCATGTTGTTCCATTGGTGGGTGTACAGGAGTCCACCTGGGGTGCGATGTGCGTTAGTCAAATTGTTTTTGTTCAGGCGAGCACAGATGTAATTCTCTGCTTTCAAGTGGTATTACTGGAGAATTTGCTACTGTTCTTCATGTTCCCCATTCAATTCCATTGACAACTTTAATAAAATTGACATATTTGGTAAGATAGATTATATAATACTGAAGAGATGATGCATTTACATAGGATTATATTTGGTAATCATAGTTCCTTCAGAAAAGGCTTACTTTTTGTGGTCAGTCTTCTAGGAATTCTATTTCTTTTGAAAGGCTTAATCACTTTACGAGAAAACTACCGTAATTAGTGTTTGAAAATTAATTTTTAAAAGAGATATCTCTTTCCTTAAAGCTTTTAGAAGAAGTCGCATTGAATCAACTTATTCTAAAGCACTTTTATAAAATTAACTAAATGGGTTCAAAAGCTTTTTTTGACTTCGCAAAAGTCATGCCAAACATGTCCTATATAATTTGCAAAGGTGTATAGGAGAGGAAAAATTTAACAATGCAGCAATGATTTGAACACCAGCATGCTAGACATCCCAACTGAACTCTTCCATGGCCCAAGTGATCCCAAGAAAAGAATGAGCTCTCTCATGAGTTAGCATGTTTAATACGTTAGGATGGATCAAGGAAGTAGCACAAATTAAGTTAACGTGTGGTGATGTTATGTGCTAAACGTTGAAGTTCCTTTTTGTTGTCAAACGTGCACTAAATTTATTAAGTTTAAGCTCAAGAAATGAGGGCAATGTATGTAAAAAAATTTGTTTCACTAGTTTTGGTGCAAAGAACCAGACTGATTTTAGTTGATCCTTAAATTTGGGAGAGCCCTACCTTGTCTGTATCTCTAACCACATCATTAACTAACATACCTGTAGTGCATGGTCGAAGAAAAGGTGAGAGTAATGTGGGTTTGCTCTCCTAAACACAATTGAAGCTGCTGCCACGGCTGCAGCCATCTCTCTGGCGACATCTGACCCCCTCATTGATCTTATAAGCATGTTCGGATGTTGTCATGTCCTCCGGTCATTGCCAACAGTAGTGATCAGTATTTCCATCACCCACCTGAGCCCACTAGACTTGCTTTGATGAAATAGTCGGTTCCCCACTTGATGGCTTCAAGGGCATGCCGATATTCTCCTGCCGATGCTATTGATCCTGGTATTTAATCATACCTCATGAAAGCATCGTAATGGTAAATGCCATTGGAAGACCAAATTTCACATTATCACCAGCATCATAGTAACCTTAGAGATTTTGATTTTGATAAAAGTTGAGAAAATGTGTGGTTCAAAAGTTGTGGACACTATGAAATATGTGGATAAAATTAATTGTTGACTGACTTGAGATTAAAATCAGATTTTAATTAGAACCAAACTAGGGCTAAATTTTTATTATGATCCCTGGAGGCAAAATTAAGTAAATTTAGAAAGAGAAATGTGGTGGCCCGACCCCTTGTTCTAGATCAGCGGTGAGGGCCTAATGGTGGCGCCAAGTGACTCCGGTTGTACGGAAGGTGGCCCGAACGCTGTGCTTCGGAGTAGAGACTCTTGAAAAGAGCTTCTTCATATTTGAAAGATTGAGATAAAGGCAGGCAAATGAAGAGGGAAAGTAGAATTATCAGATGTGGAAGACTTGCCATTGTCGGATTTATTTCTCACTTGCTGAGAGTACTCTGCCATGCCTTGGAATGCATGAGATAATAAATGAGCAAATTTGTTTAGTAAATCTTCATCTGCCATTAAATATGCGGAGATCCACCTCAAAGTTATGACATAAATGAGATCTTTTAATAATTTCTCCAACACCTAATAAAAACCCAATAAAACTGAAATATTATAAGAAAGAGGCGACAAATGGGAAAGGTTAAATGTACGCCTCTTGTTGATGTCGAAAGTTGTTGGGCGCTCCGATGAACGATGGGAAGTTGAAATCATTACAAAATGTTCAAAATAGCACATCAGTGAATTAGCTTTGCAGATAAAGGTAGAATAGCAATTTGATTCTACTTTGACGATCAAATTAATTATTTTAAAATAAAAATAAACTTAACAAAATTTTCAGAATTCGAGGGGTTCATGTCAAGGAACGGCAAAATTGGTGAAGTTGGTTTTCATCCCTCATGATTAGAACTTTTAGGCACCGTACATACATGTTCGTCGAGCGCATTATGTCGCGTCTCTAGATTCTTAGTAGGCGTAATGTCCAATACTATAGTAAGTTCAACATTAAATTTTGACTAGGTAGGTTGTATATGCCAAGCGCTACATTAGCATTCTATGCTACAGTTATCTCTATATGCTAAGTTTAGCAAATTAATGGTGTGTCGACATTTTTATATAGCTGATCGGTCTAAGTTCTCCTATTCAATTTCCAGAGCACTGTTGTATTGCTCGAGGTTACTTTCATGGGTAAAAGTTACCCTTATACTTTGACAATGTTATGAGTAAACTTGGAGGTGCATAAGTTCGACTCGCCACATCAGGCGGTAAATCTAGAGAGCCAATTCACTAATTAGCACTGATTTAATTAAACAGAATACATTTAGAACGGACTGCATCATAGTAGAATTCTCAAGACCAATAGGCAATAGACTAGTAACAGAAACTCAAGAACATAGTATTAACAGAATAAGTACAGTAGAAAGTTAAATACAACACTTCCACATAGCTAAGCATTCGTGCCCAACTAATTAAGCAGCAGAGCCTCCAGTCTGGTGCAGCATCGCATCAATCTCGTCACCGTCCTCCATTTCCAGCTGTAAAGAATAAATTCAGACGTTAAACATTTGGTTTGGATTATAGAGCAACCAAGAAACATGAAGAGGAAACGGAGAAAAGACCTCATCAGGAGTCTGCTCTGCTCGAAGACGGCGGCCATCAAACAGAAACGCAATTGCATTTAAATCCACTGATTGTCGATCACAATAAGTGGTCATGAGCTTCTTCAGTTGGGAGCTTTTCTTGATCCTAAAAAAGACTTCATTGCCATCCTATATGAAATGGACTCGTTAAGCAATTGTATGAAGAAATATCGACACATCTACCATTAAAAACACAAATATTCATCTACTAAATGACTTGTTTTAGCAAAATTAAGATAAGATATCTTCAAATTTGTAAGATCGTCACTAAGAATGCAAGACTTGTCCACCGTCGCAAAAGGAATTCAAATAGCTTATATAACAATTACAGTAATCATAAGACTATCCAACACAGTTACAAAGATATTCATTTCCTCAAAATAAACTAAGCCCATGTTCGGCCCCATTTTCTTCACATGCTCATTTTCAACCACACATTTCATCATTTTTTAACAAAATCTACTAAAAATCCGATTTTTCGCCAAACCAGACAAGGCTAAATGACTTGTTTTAGCAAAATTTAGAGTAAATGTCTTTCAAGGATGAAAAATATAGCCGTTTCGGACCCATTTTCATAAGAATGAAAATGAAAAAATAACCATTACGGAACCCATACAAGAGATAGAATATCAAATATGGTAACTTGATGTGATTGACAATGGTTATATTTTTCATTTTTGTGAATAAAAAATGGGAATCAAACGGGGGCTTAAAATGCAGGATTCATCCAGCATCAGAAAAGGAATTCAAACAGCTTGAATAATAAACACACTAATCACAAGACCATTCAAGTAAAAATTCGTCGGACAAACGAAACAGCATAATCAAAATCTGAAAGGATAAATCATGCCGCACATCGATTGACAAACCCCAAAAATACAAAAGTGAAATTGAATTTAACTCAACCTTGACAAGTTCACGAGTTATGCTCATTGCTCCCATGCTACCAAAAACAAATACAATTCGATACCAAATGCGAGATAGAGTCACAACTCAATGTTAAGAAGTGCATAGCTGATTTATTCTTTTCCTCTCACTTGCTTATGTCCCTCTAGTCATACGTCAACCTTAAACTAATAAGCACAGACATGGGCATGATGGGCGATATGGACATGTAACAAGAACACATCCGAAACATGATTTTTCAAAAAAAGTAGGATACGGCCTTGTTGATTTTAACTCTTAAGATTATATATTTATATATTATATTCTTCTTTTAGTTTTATTTTTGTCGGTGATATCTTTTAATTAAGATGATTGACAATCTTTCAAGAAATATGACACACCTCGTTTCATGTCAGATATGCCTCGAGTGTTTGAGAATTTTTTGTGTTAACACAGACATGTGTCGGACGTGCACACATCCCACCGCCCTAGCAGGAGTATTTGTGCTTCATAAAACTCCAAAATTCGTTCCTCCCAGAAAGCCAGATTATAAAGAAAGCTTGAGAGAGGGCATCTTGAGGTTAGGATCTTTACAGTGTGCATTTTTTCCAAAAAATAAAACCTAGAACTTCTTTATTCTTTCCTCAACATTATTTGCCCTTAGCAGAAAAAATTTCTTTATAATTGAGCAATAAATCAAAACAACTAAACAAATAATAAGAGATCCCCAATAAATAAATGGTTCCCAAAAACACAGCGCATAACCCTAAAATGGATAATTTAAAACCCTAGAACACAATCAAAACCATCAGAAACACGTAGACATCTAGAAACACAATCAAAACCATCAGAAACACGTAGACATCTAGAAATTAAAAAATGAAAAACTAAGATAAAACCAACAAAGGAAATAATTTAGAAAAGATCCAGACCTGGCCCTTGACTTTGACATTGATGTGCGACGACGAATCTTCGGGCTTCTTGTCTTCATCCTGACCAGCGGTAGACATTCTTCTATCTGCCTTCGCTCTCGCTCCGCCGACTACCCTTTCCAACACCTCAGTTTAGCCTTCCAATATCACGCACAGAGAGCAAAATTTCGTAAAATATGCTTATTGCTCGAGCTTTAAAACAGAACCAAAGTCATAATTAGCACAAAACGTCCACTTGTTGTTATGCTATTGTGCAAAACATCTCTATCCAATTTTTTTTTTTTTTGTTAACATTTTCACTCATATTTTTATCTTTTATTGCGAAAATCATCATTTTTATTCAATTCCTCGTTAAAAACATAAAATAATAAATATATCATCCTATTTAAATAAAACAATAAAAAAAAAATTAAAGAACAAATTGTAATTATACTTCCGAACTTTTAAAAAAAGTGCAAATGAGTTCAAATAAATTATTAAAAAGGTAATTAGCACAAAATGTTTACACCTTTTAATATTATTGTGCAAAACGTCCATACCTTACATTTATTGACATCTTCACACTTATTTTCAAATTACATTGTGAAAATATCATTTTCATCTATTTTTTTCAAGTAAAAGCTATAAAATGATAAATATACTATCATATTTAAATAAAAAAAAATGTAATGAAAAATAAAGAACAAATTGCAATTATACTCTCAAAATTTTTTAAAAAGTACAAATAAATTTCAAATAAATAATTAAAATTTTGAAAATGATTTTTTTATTTTTAATTATTTATTTGAAATTTAATTTGTACTTTTTTGAAAATTTTAAGAGTATAGTTGCAATTTATTATTTATTTTTGTTTTATTTAAATGTGAGAGTAAATTAGTCATTTTATAGCTTTTAATTGTGAAAATGAATAAAAATGATAATTTTCAAAATAAAATGTGAAAATAATGATGAAAATGTTAAAAAATGAAAGATGTGGATGTTTTGCACAATAATTTGTGATAATTACCATTGTAATAATTTATTTCGACTTATTTGTACTTTTTTTAAAATTTTGGGAGTTTCATTGATATTTGCATTTTAGTTTTTCTTTGTTTTATCCAAAAATGACAATATATTCGTCATTTTATATTTTTATTAAAAAATTGGATAAAAATAATGATTTGTACAATGAAAGGTAAAAATAAGAGATGAAAATGTCAAAAAATGAAAGTTATGACTTTTGCATAATAACATTGAAAGATAATGATGTTTTGTGCTAATTATTCTTACTTAAAATAGTTTATGTGACTCGCATTCCAAACATGTCTGATTTTTCGAATAATTTACTTTTTAAGGTTTAAAATTTTAAGTAATTTTTATATCAGTAGCTTATTTATTTTTAAATTTCTAAAGATGAAAACGTTATTTGTTTTATAATTTATTTATTTACTAATAAGTAAACTTTGCAAGCTTACAAATGAGCTCTAAATTTGTACTTGTTTTGTCTCTAGAATAGTTATATGTATATTATTTTTTTTTTATTTTTTTTTTGGA